GTTGTGTGTGTGTGTCTGTGTGTGTGTGTATGTGTGTGATGTGTGATGTGTGTGTGTGATGTGTGTGATGTGTGTGTTTGTCTGTGTGTGTGTCTGTGTGTGTGTCTGTGTGTATGTGTGTGTGTGATGTGTGATGTGTGTGTGTGATGTGTGTGTGTGTGATGTGTGTGTTTGTCTGTGTGTGTCTGTGTGTGTGTCTGTGTGTCTGTGTGTCTGTATGTGTGTGTGTCTGTGTGTGTGTCTGTGTGTGTGTGATGTGTGTGTGTGATGTGTGTGTGTTGTGTGTGTGTGTCTGTGTCTGTGTGTGTGTCTGTGTGTGTGTCTGTGTGTCTGTATGTGTGTGTCTGTGTGTGTGTGTGTGTGATGTGTGTGTGTTGTGTGTGTGTGTCTGTGTGTGTGTCTGTGTGATGTGTAATGTGTGTGTCTGTGTGTCTGTGTGTGTGTGATGTGTGATGTGTGTGTGTGATGTGTGTGATGTGTGTGTTTGTCTGTGTGTGTGTCTGTGTGTGTGTCTGTGTGTATGTGTGTGTGTGATGTGTGATGTGTGTGTGTGTGTGATGTGTGTGTTTGTCTGTGTGTGTCTGTGTGTGTGTCTGTGTGTCTGTATGTGTGTGTGTCTGTGTGTGTGTCTGTGTGTGTGTGATGTGTGTGTGTGATGTGTGTGTGTGTCTGTTTGTGTGAGTCTGTGTGTGTGTCTGTGTGTGTGATGTGTGTGTGTCTGTGTGTGTGTCTGTGTGTGTGTCTGTGTGTCTGTGTGTGTGTCTGTGTGTGTGAGTGACTGTGTGTGTGATGTGTGTGTGTGATGTGTGTGTGTGTGATGTGTGTGTGTCTGTGTCTGTGTGATGTGTGTGTGTCTGTGTGTGTGATGTGTGTTTCTGTGTGTGTGTGTGTGTCTGTGTGTGTCTGTGTGATGTGTGTGTGTCTGTGTGTGTCTGTGTGATGTGTGTGTGTGATGTGTGTGTGTCTGTGTGTGTGTCTGTGTGTGTGTGTGTCTGTGTGTGTGTGTCTGTGTGTGTGTCTGTGTGTGTGATGTGTGTGTGATGTGTGTGTCTGTGTGTGTGTGTGTCTGTGTGTGTGATGTGTCTGTGTGTGTGTCTGTATGTGTGTGATGTGTGTGTCTGTGTGTGTGTCTGTGTGTGTGTAATGTGTGTGTGTCTGTGTGTGTGTGTCTGTGTATGTGATATGAGTGGATGAGTGTGTGTGTGTCTGTGTGTGTGTGGGGAGCGATAGTGCAGCGGTTAGCGCGCTGCACTACGAACCCGGAGACCCGAATTCGATCCCGCTCACGGCCAACACCGGTGACGATTATCTGAACTGGCCCTGGGCCTCCCCTAGGTCGACTCAGCCTCAAATGAGTACCTGGTGCGGTGTCTACAAAACATCGCCACGAGGGAGACAAAGGCGGTCGGGCGTGGTGCTGGCCACCCAGCCCCTCGTGTGCCGTTCCAGCCTTCATAGGTGCTCGCTAACAGCACTTGCCCCTACAGTCTGTTAAGGCTACACGGGGGATCTTTGAATTTGTCTTTGTGTGTGTGGTGACGTCACCGCCACTTAGTAGCGAATGGCGGTTGTTGTTGTTGTAGTCCGACAACTCCCTGCCTCCTCGGTGGTGCCGGATGGTAACGCTGTGGTGAGCAGTGACATGGGGGGGGGGAGGCCAATCTCAATTGGCCATTCCTTTCATGGTATTTGTAGCCACCACAGCGGACAAAGAGGGCTCTCAATGGATGCGAGGGACTGGTCACCCATCAATCTACGTACCACTAAACCACGTGGGGAAAAAATCTAACTAAGTTTGTGCCAGAGGCCCCGGGGGGACAGGCGTCTATGACGTCTCCTGGCCAAACCCCATTTGGCGGAGCCAGGAGATTGAATTTTTACCCTCAGGGCTCCTCCAGAAACAACGAAAAGCCGCTACGGATGGCCACGTGGAATGTTGGAACGCTCACTGCGGAGGAGAGGCTGCCACTCCTCTGTCGGGAGCTGGACCGGTACCGCCTGGATCTCTGTGGTATTCAGGAGGTCCGGTGGACCGGTTTTGGCTCCTGCCACCATGAGGAGTGGAAAGTCCTCTTCTCGGGGCAGGAGACTGCCAAACAACAGGGAGTGGCTCTTCTTCTGAACAAAATAATGAAGGGGAGTGTGTGAGCATGGCAGTGAGGTGTGGAAAGCTGTAATCACCATGCTACTTTGGGCTCGCCTTCCCATCAACCGGAGGCGAGGAGTGGCGGTCGTGGTTACTTATGCCCCCACAGAAGATGAATATCAGTGGAGGGATGCAGGCAAAGCCGATGAGTCAGATGCCTTCAATTACCTCCTGTCACAGGTGCTGGCTACAGTGGCCACTCGGGACAGAGTCATCCTTTTGGGTGACTTCAATGCCCGAGTTGGTCATGATGCTGGCACCTGGGCTGGAGTGATTGGAAGGCATGGGCCAGATCAGCTCAATAACAACGGTAGGAGGCTGCTAGACCTCTGTGCAGCCCATGGACTCGTAATTACCAACACGCTGTTCCGGTGTCTGAAGCATCAACACAACATCATGGATACATGCCGGGTCTAAGCGAGAACATCTGCTGGACTAAATAGTGACGGAACAGCGGATGCGGGCCCATGTCCTTGACACCAGGACCTACCGTGGAGCTGATCTGCCCACTGACCATCGGCTTGTCATCAGTAAGATGCGCCTGCCTTTCTTCCACTCCGGTGGTGGGTGTACACCCAGGACCCCTTTCAGACCCACAGTGGCCTGATTTCGGCTAGCTGATGAAATTTGCAAGCGCAAATTTCATCATCGCTTGCGGCTTGGGTTGGCATTGTCCCCCACTCCTCCTGATGCCAAGGTGAAATGGGCGAGGTTTAGGACTTTGGAACATGCAACTGCAATAGCTGCTTTGGGTACACGGTCCAAAGCTCCACAAAGACCCTGGCTGACAGAGGAGCTGTTCCAGCTGGCTGAGAAAAAGCGACAGGCCCACTCACACCGTCCACCGCATCCCACGTCAGAGAACGAGGAGGCTTACCGCAGCCTTTTCTCAGAGGTTCGGAGAGCCGTGAGGCGCTGCAAGGATGGGTGGTGGTCGCGGGTTGCTGAGGAGATGGAGTCTGCCTCAGTAGCCCGCGATCACAAATCGCTCTTTAACTTCATTAGAAAGTAACTTGTAGTGCCACACCTATTACCATCATTAGTGGATAGAAAGGTGATCCGATCTCCGACCCTCAGGAACAGGTTTTCAGATTTGCTGAACATTCCTGTGAGGTCTTGGGATAAGGGAATTCCCTAATCCTGGAAAACATCATTGGGCAAAGTGGGGATGACCCTGCTGATGCTGCGGTGCCTCAAGTATTGGAAGAAGCAGTCACCCCCTGTGAGTGGCTGGCCGAAGTCCCATCTGTTGAGGAAGTACTGAAGGTCATAGAGACCAGGAAAAGCGCCAGGCAGAGATGATTTGCCAAGCAAAATGCTGAGAAGTGGCGTTTGTGTGAGGGATGAGTGTGTGAGTTAGTTGATGAGTGGATGAGTTGATGCGTGAGTGAGTGAGTGAGTGGATGAGTTGATGAGTGTGTGAGTGGGTGAGTGTGTGAGTGTGTGAGTGAGTGTAAGAGTGTGTGAGTGTGTGAGTGTGTGGGTGAGTGAGTGTGTGAGTGAGTGTGTGAGTGGGTGAGTGTGTGGGTGGGTGAGTGTGTGAGTGGGTGAGTGTGTGAGTGTGTGAGTGAGTTGATGAGTGCGTGTGTGAGTGAATGTATGAGTGAGTGAGTAGGTGAGTTGATGAGTGCGTGTGTGAGTGAATGTATGAGTGAGTGAGTAAGTGCATGAGTGAGTGAGTGGGTGAGTTAATGAGTGAGTAAGTGAGTTAGTGTGTGAGTGTGTGAGTGAGTGTGGTGTGAGTGTGTGAGTGAGTGTATGAGTGAGTGGGTGAGTTGATGAGTGAGTGTGTGAGTGAGTGAGTTGATGAGTGC